TATATATATATATATATATATATATATATATATACACACACACACACACACAAATTACTATCCTGAGAGATTAAAAACTTAGGCTATTCATATGAAATTACAAAAACGTTTTTAATTAACTTCTTAAAAATTACATTGTGTGCTTCTTGTTCCAATAGCCTGTGAAAAGTTACTGTGTAGGGAACAGTTCTTTGTGCGTAAATCAGACTTGAAAAAATGTTTCTCTTGATAAATCATTAAATACCTAGTGTAAAATTTCAAGAACAATATATATATACCGAGGAAAATGTAGATTAGTTTTGTTTAAGCTAAAAAAATAAAATGAAAAATAATATACACAGCTTTCAGAAATTCAAGTAAATAAATACCATAATTTATTGTACAGAAGTAAACTGTAGACCAACGAAATACATAATATTGATGATACAATGAAAATTCAAACCTTCATCAAATATCAAAAGGTTTGCTAATGTTATCAAAGTTAAAATATAGCTCATGCTAAAATAGTGTGCACCCTGACCTCAAAAAGTTCAGAAAAAAACGTGTTTCACTGGACAAAAGTTGAAACTACACTGTTCATGTACCTGCAGTGGATTAATTAAATATGGACAGAATTTATGAAGAAAGTTCTATTCCACCTTTTTTTCTTTGTAATCAATAAATAAAACTAATTCCAAAAAACATAATAAAATACGTTAGGAACTGAATTCAGATGTACTAGTTGCAAATCTACCAATGACTTACTTTTTTTCTTGACCAGGAACGAGTTAACCATGATAATTTCAAAGAACTGAAATTACTTTTCAAACCTCTACCTACAGGAGGCATTGTAAAAGCATGCTTTTTAACAAACAAGTGGGCTTGCAACATGCGAATTACTTCAGCAACAACAAAATTTTGTAGTGCCTCAATAATAAGAAAAGGTTAAAGTTTGTTTGTTTTCCTCTCCCAGGCAAAGTTATCAATTTGTGTACGAGACTGCTGATAAGATAATGCACACACATACGGTAAAACGTTATCAGACCTAAATACTTCCACCAGTTACACCTGGCAAACAAACAAGCACAGCTATCCTTTAATACCATATGTCTATAGTTAAGACACAAATCTGGACAGTGGACAATCTAAGTCTATTCTGATATAATTCAGATTAAACGTATTTGACCAGAAATTGGGAGTTTAAAATATGAGTTTTATTGATGGCAGAAACTTAGTCAACTTTACAACTCTAGATCAATCAACACCTTAGAAGTTATCTAGATTTTATATAACTAAAGATGATATTCATTACAAGATGTTATATTACAGAAGTGTGGTTGATGCAATTTCAACCATCCTCTGACTGGGCCTTCACGTACTTACATAATATCTTTATCAGTGGGCTGTCTATTAAAGCATCGTGTAGTTGAAGTTATTAAAGTTTATCACAATTTTGTTCTACTTAAATCCGGGGTGGGGTGGGGGGAGTATATATTAAATTTAGATTATACACATTATTTCATGAAAAAACTCAAGTCTACTGCAAAAAATATTTCATTCTCAACAGGCAGAACTGAACACTCCAGATAAGCAAGAAAAATTAGTATAGTTTTATAATCATTCTCGTGTCAAGAAATAAGAAAACCTTACTGTTTACGAGAAGTTACGTTTATATGTATATGTAAAAACATTATTTCAAGAGTTAAGTAAATATTAACATCAAAAGGAAGACTGTTAAATACAGCCCGTGATGAATAAACATTTTATTTATCAAAACAAACCTTAACTACAACAACAAAAATGTTGTATATATTAAAAACAAACATGTGAGCCTGGCAAACAGAGGTTAAGACTTATAGATGGTGTATCCCCACTGCAATGTGGGGTCCTACTTCTGCAGTCATCTTCAAAACCCAGGGCACATCTAATATATGCAGCATTTTATTGTAGTTAAAGTTTTTTTTTTTTGATAATGAAAATATTAAAAAAATCTAACGTAGGAAATAACTTAATCTGCAATACTTTGTACATAATGAAATTTCTAGAAAGTAATGAATGGTTAGCTGTAGACTCTGGTTTAGGCAGTAAAGAAGAAAGAAAGAGCTCACAAATTCAAATTGTTACATAAAATTTTCACTGCCCAAATTTCATTTGAAATTCATCAATTGTTCAGCTTATCTTTTGTCAAATTAAAATTAATAGATGATACTTATCTAAGTTTTAAATATTTCAAGGCAATGTACCTAAAATTTTAAAAATGTTACAGTGTAAATATTTACAGAATACAATAAAAAACATCCCATGTTTTCCACCATTGCAACTCAAAAAAGAGATATCTTGACACCCCAGGGTGTTGGTTTAGTGTAGGGTTGTTTTGTTCAATTAAGATGGATTCTTTGATTTTTCGTTTATTTATGTTTGGTTCTTTGTTTAAAATTACTGTGTTTTTAATAGATTACTGTGAAAGATTTGTAAATTAGTTATCCTATAACCTGGTCAATAAACTTGATTTCTTCAAGATTTGTAAACTAGTAAACCTATAAATTGATAACTTAACATGTTTTTATAAAGATTTGTGAACTAATAAACTATAAACTGATCAGTTAACTTGATTTCTTCAAGATTTGTAAACTAGTAAACCTATAAATTGATAAGTTAACATGTCTTTAGAAAGATTTGTGAACTAATAAACTATAAACTGATCAGTTAACTTGATTTCATAAAGTTTTGTAAATTAGTGAACCTATAATTTAATCATTTTATTTGTTTTTATAAAGATTTATGTAGTAATTAACTTGTAATTTGTATAGTGTTTTTTAGGAAAGGATTTGTTTTTTCTTTTTGAATAAGAATATATAATTAATATCATGGATATCCATATTCATATGTTTTGTGTTAAAGTCTGGCTTTCATTTCTTACTTAAGAGGAGAGTATTGCCTTATTTAAAAACGCAATCCATATTTGATGACGAGGAACCCACTTTGATTTGGTACTTTTGGGAAGCTTAACAATATAACAAGAATACCTACTTATCAAAATGTAGTTTCTTATATACTCAATACTTCTGTGAAGCATAACAGTATTACAAGAATGTGTACCTGTCAAAGTGTAGTTCCTTGTATAAAGCTTAAAGATGGCTCAATGTGACAGCAGTCGAAAGCATGCGCTAATACAGAAAAAAAGAACTGTTTAGTTAATATGATTTCATTATACAAGAAAAATATGCTTTGGTAATTAAGTATTCTTGTTATAATGTTACACTTCACACAAGTATTAAATATACAAGAAAATACACTTTGATAAGTAGAAATTCTTGTAATATTGTTACCAGTACAACTATCAAAAGCTTGCTAATATGAATATAAAAAATGTTAACATCAAGTAAACTTAGAATTATACATTTTGTTACTGTCAACAAGCTTTTTAGGTTGTTTTGATATGGACTAAAAAAAGAAACAACTATCTGGGTAGATAAAGCCTAACTTGTAATCTTATTGTTTATTTGAACAAGTGAGTAACGTTCAAAACACAAGACGGCTGAGTTACTTTTCTCTTTTATTGCCATGATAAGCCAAGCTTGCATCTGAATATCATCATTTCAATCAAGAGTGTACGTGACATTTATGCATGAGTTTATCTCCTTAATGATGTACTCAGGACAAACAGACTAGCACAACATAAATGGGACCATTGCCAAACATGCACCTGCAGAAGAGCTGGGCAATTAACTCAATTAATCAATATAACTGATTACCTAGGAACATAAATGTTGTCAAATAGTGTCACAAAAAATAATCAATCAAAATTACAATTAAATCGATTAGTTTCACAAAAATAGTTGGCTAATCAAAATTAGTGTTTACAGTTATTACTATTTGTGATTATTTCAACTATCCAAGTCTGACATGAGAATAACCAGTTAGTTGCATGTAATCAATTAAGGAGCCTACCGATTAATAAATGATCAAACTCCACTAGTTGTCCAATGATACACACTTGAGCAGGTCTCAATATCTATATGAAGCTAGATGTTTAGATAGGGAGAGCTGACTAAGTGATGTCTGAAGCCTAATTATATCTAACAAAGATGTTGATTTGACACATTTCCTAGACTAGTTCAATTACATTATTTGGAATTTTTTGTGTGTGTTGTGTATATGTTCTGGAGAAAATAACAGTGAAATGCTAAATATCATTAAAGAATGAAGTGAAAATATTATAAATTGTAATAAAAAAAACTCAAAAACAAGACTCACCCAAAAGTCAACATATTTAAACTTAATATTTTATGTTGAAATAGAAAAGCAATCAAAATTCTAATTAGTATTTCTTGAGATCTATATATATAATAATATTGTACAAGAGAACAAATTTTGGGTTTTTAAAAAGCGAGTCTTATCTTAGATTCCATTTCAGATTAACAAGCTCTCAAACTCCCTCATTTTTTAACAGGAGGATTACAGGCAACTGTTAACTGTATCTAGTTAACCTGTGTAAACCTATTCTACAAAAGCCTAAAACATGTATTAAACAACATACTGTTGTACTTCTGAGACACAACTATTTTAGGTTTGCTATGGTAATTAAAATTCTGTCTTGTAAGATATACAGAAATATTAATGTTACTAATAAATTATGAAATATTATGTATTACTATCATAAAAAACGGTCAAATACAGGTTAAAGTAATTTTATTGATGTTAACAAAACCAAAACTCACTTCAAAATCGAAATTTTCATCAAGTGAAGAGACATCGCCGATTTCCTTATCTTTACTTCGACTTTCAAGTACTTCAATGAGACCTGAAAAATTTGTCAAGTGTTTAAACTTTGGACTGACACACGCTGAAAATCAAAAACATGATAATTTATCATCTGTAAAAACTTAGAACTGGTAGGTGATGAAAATGAGAACCATGACATTAACTGTTGCCTGTAAAACATTAGGATTAGAGCTGCTGAAAAATGGGAAACATGAAATTCGTCACCAATTAAAACATAGATGATTAAAATTAGAGACGACATTTATTGCCCATGAAAATGTAGTACAGGTAGATGATTAAAATTAGAGACATGACATTTATTGCCCATGAAAACGTAGTACAGGTAGATGATTAAAATTAGAGACATATGACATTTATTGCCCATGAAAATGTAGGACAAGTAAGCAATGAAAATGAGTAGTGCCATATCAGAAAATTTTCCTCTCCTATAAAAAAACAAAATGATCATTGTTCTCTGTGTTATAAGGTTTTTTTCTAATTTCCATCATTCACGTGCAGATGGGATGATAAAACTAAATGTATTGACATAAATGTTTGTTTCTTTGCTTCATGTGAAAAACTTGATATAAAATTTGTGGATAGAACTTCAAACTTCTTGCTCAGATATTCATCAAGTGCTACCTGTTTGAAAATCTTTGTACTACCCATACAGATGCGTGAAACTTGTTGCACAATCCATTATGAATAGTTAAGTTTACTGAAGGAACCATCGTGGGAGCCATTTTTCTCTCTACTGCTGTACGTTTAGTTTTCTGATATGTGTCTGACTGAATGATCTTGTATGAAAACATTTATTGAAACACCCAATAAATGAAGCCTAAAGTCTTCCTGCATTTTCTGTACCGAGATACTCAAGCAGCATGTTAAAACATTTCTGATCCTCTATCTATGGTGTTTGTAGGTGAAGGTGTTGGTATTAGCAATATTAGGGATTTGATGTCGCATGATCTCCTTATTTTCAGTTAAGTCATAAAATATAAGAACTTTCTCTCAAGTGATTCGATTCAAGCATTAATTGTTAGGTTTTTGATATTTTTAGTCCTAATTATAAGTTATTTTTAGATTAAAACATTCTTTGTAGAATGTTTTGAAAGTTAGTGCTTTAATTTTGGTATAATTGTTAGGCCTTCCACATTTGTCTTCAGTTAGCTATAGTCCTCATTGTTGCCAATTTACAAACATTTATGTCAGCTATAGTCCTCATTCATTGCCAATTTACAAACATTTATGTCAGCTATAGTCCTCATTCATTGCCAATTTACAAACATTTATGTCAGCTATAGTCCTCATTCGTTGCCAATTTACAAACATTTATGTCAGCTATAGTCCTCATCTGGTAAATATCGAGAGTCATCTAAGAAAACAATTATAGTAATCCAGGTCGAGTAGCTAGGTAATACCTGTCTCTGCCCTCTGGTGGTAGTTAGGGAAACAGTCATTTATTAATAACCAGGTATTGACATCATAAGTCCTGTGGTGAGCTTGTACATTTGACTTCAAAAAGCTCTTGTGTGCAAAACATTCTTCATTTAAAAGTTAGTATAAATGTAAAGGGTATTATAACTTTGCATAAAGTTTGACATAACTACAAGAAAATAATGTGAATAAGTGTCTATAATTGTTCATGTCCTATGGAGTTTAATTCTTACATATAAAAAATGTTTCTTTCATTTTTTCAAATCCTTAAATTGGCAATAAAGAATGTGTTGGTGGTCTGGTTAACATCAGTTATCTGGTGATGGATGGGTACTAAATATCTTGGAAATGTGCTGGTGGTCTGGTAAACATCAGTTATCTGGTGATAAGCAGTTACTAAATATCCCTGGCATGTGCTGGTGATGGGTACTAAATGTCTTGGGAATGTGCTGGTGGTCTGGTTAACATCAGTCCATCACTAAATAACTGCATTGAATCCTTATTAAATGTCTAGTGCTAGATGAGTCTATCTAAAGTTTTTGCACGACTACCAGTTAAGTAGAACTATATTTATCAACTGGCTGAAGCCACACAATCACTCAATCTAATTAACTACTGTAGCAACATTATACTACAACACCAAATATCTGGCTACTGTTTCACTAGAATAATATGTTAATTTGATTATGATCAGAAGATTGTGATGGTTGCTACACCACTGCTCTATCTCCTTGGTTACCACCATATTTTTAAATTTCGAATGTAACTACAGCTTAATGTTTATTACACGTTAACTTTCTTATTTTTTGAAGACTGTGAGGCTTGTTACATGAAAACTTTCAACTAGTTAAATTTGTTTGTTAACACTACGATATTGTTAAGAATTTGGAAGTAACTACTGCTTTCAAACGACCATGTGAAATAAATTAGCTTATTATCAGAAAAACTGAGGTTTATAAGTTTATTACAACTAGAATAACAGAAAAAAAATGTTTTACAGTCTTCAGCCACAAAGGATTTCAATATTTGACACAAGATTTATTTTTCAGTTCAAGAATCAGCGCAAACTCCAAAGTATAAATGCAAAATGTAACCTTTAGCAAGTGCACGCAATCGCTGCATTTTAATCGTGTTTGTCAGAAGTTTTTACGAATGTAAATTTAATCACTTTACGCGGTTTCCTTATTTTGTATTTCTTTATTTGAAAGCAAAAGTTAAAATACTGCTATTAAGTAAGTTTTTTTTTCATTCTTAAAAGGACATTACTCTGCACAAGACGTACTAGAGTAATATTGCGATTGTTCCTTGAACACATAAAGTAAACATAAAAGAGATACGAATCACATTTTCACCAACCAGAAATTGCCAAACAAAACACCCACAACACTTACTGGAGTTTTTAGTAGATGACTCATTAAGCTGACTTTTTTTTGGAGATGACTCACCATCCACTTCATCTGTTGCAGAACTTTCTATATTTTCATCAAAAGTGAAATATAATCACAGATACTTTAAAAGAAAAGATAAACAAAGTTAACCATAAAAGTAATATACATACAAATACTTTAAAAGGAAAGATAAAATTAACCACAACGGTAGTATCTACGCAGTTAAAAGGAAAAAACAATAGGATACTTTCTTATTCTTATAATCTCAAACTTGAAATCTAATGTTTTACCCATTTCGTGTTTTACAAGTGTTTACCAAAAAACATAACAGTTTATAAAAACTGTTGCATGTTATTTTTACTCAATCTTTTTTTATCAGACCCACAAAATTGTAATGTATAAAAGAAATATAAATCTGGCATTTTTTATTCAAATCGCCCTATCAATTTTTGATTTTTTCTCATAAAACGTTTAAAGCTACCAACAATTCAATATATCCAACCAATAGTATTTCTTGGGAAAAAGTATGCCTTGGAAAGTTTTATGCAATAAAACACACTGAATATTGATTTTGTGACTGCTTTGGTAAGAACTTAAAACTATATAGCTGACTGATCACCTAATCACATTATATTTTAAAACATTTTAAAGAAAATTACTGATAGAAAAAAAAACACTTGTATCTTTTCAGTGTAATGGATCGATAAAGTTCATACTTGTGCATCAGATTTTTCTGGTCAACTAATTTAACCAGAATATATAACTCGGGCATACAAAGTAGTTAGTATGAAAGATTTTAACGACCAGTTTTCTATAAATGGTGGGATTGAAAAATTAGTATGAAATTAAAGTTCTGTTTAAACTTCTCAATTTTGTTTAAACTGTATTTGGAAATGAATGAACCACTAACAGATTTATTGGTACTAGAAAAAATGCCAACCTACAATTTGTGCTGGTAATTACTATTCGTAATATTCATACCTAATTAAAAAGAAAAAAAAAAATGTAGAAAAAATTAATATTTTCTAAAAAAAATGTTTTTTTTTCTGGGAAGTACTGCACACGGGAAAAGTGTTCAGATTGTACTCTTTAGTCTTATACCCAACTCATTGCATCAAAATGATTCATCGTACAGAGTTCAAACTTTTCAAAACTTTTACTGCTATAAACTGTAATGTTTGTTGAAAAAATATATTTCTTAAGAACTTCAGTTTCTTAGTACTACATTTAAAAACTACATCAATAAAAATATAATCAAACCCTCATGGACATCCTAGTGAAAGTTGTGAGGAGAGTACTGTTATTTAAATTTGTTTTATTATAAAGAAATGGTTGTTGCACATACCACAGTTATTTTTCTAATTGTCTGAATCTTGAATACCCAAAGTGTGAAAGTTTTTAGGGATTTTTGTTTGTGGTGCCACTCAATAGATGGCGCAAAGAAGTTTTGGTTACATACATAGATACTGACATACACGCTACATCCATTACAGTGAGATGATTATTTTATATCTTGGGGTTTCTCTATTGAAATTATGACAGACCAAGTATCATTTACTTAACAATTCTCTTTATTATATTTTGGTATAGGTAGTTTCTTACCTCGAAACAATACTACTCATAATAACTTTATGTTTAACTTACATAACATTTTGTGAAAAACAACACGTAACAACACATTTTTTGTAACATTATCCTTAAATATAGCTTTTCTTTACTTATTTCAGATACTTGTGCAAAGCTAAACAGGGGCTATCTGTGCAAAGCTAAACAGGGGCTATCTGTGCAAAGCAGTCCCTAACTTTGAACTAATAAACTAGAAGAAAAACAGATAATTAACAGCACCCACCACCACACCAGTTCTTAAGCTATACTAACCAAACAGTGGGATTTGACCATTATTCTTGTAACGTACTCATGGCATCAAAGTGTGGAGCAAAAAGTTGTACAAAAAGGACACGAAGTACAAACCCTCAATTTCACAGTTCAGCATACTATTTACTAGCTATACAGAATCTCAATATAGTCCATATGTGCAGTCTTTCTCGTTACCTATATCACGTTGTAGAATGTACAAAAATATAGCATGAATATGCAAACTTTATGGCAAGATGAACCCCAAAATAATGTCCTCAGAAGTTTCTCCACAAATCATTTCCAATTCAATCTAAAAGCAATTTTTTTACTACTAATTTGGAATCTCTAAATTCAAACATAAGAGAAAACTGTTTTCACTAATTAGAAGAAGCATTTGATATCTTGTTCCTCGAAATTTCGGGCTCACGAGGGCGTGTGCAGATTAAAGTAGGTATCGTATCGAACTCAAAGTTTTAAACATACTCACGATATTTTGACATCCGTTTTGGAAGTTGACTGTATTTATTTCCAAGGAATGAAATGTCTCCAAAAAAAGTACCATCCACTCCAACATGAACAGTGTGTTTAAGATCTCCTTGAGGTCGTGAAATCATGTCTGGTGTGAATCTGAATGAGAAATAAATCATTACAATAAACATTTTGATACAAACAATTAACATATCTAATCCATGAAGTGTTCATATCTACAGCAAAATGAATATAAAAAAAAAAAAAAAAAAAAATTAATTCTTTCTCCCATTTATAACAAACTGATTAACTGTGTCGTAAAATGCCCTCCGAGGTTCTAATTCATTTGTGTTTTGGATTTATGAATAAGAACTATATATTAGTCACTTGTTTGAAACCATATATTTCACAATACTAGTAGCCAGATATTAGCATTGTATGGAGGATTTGTGTATAAAAGTTTAATGACACATACAATATATAATAAGACTTTTTTGAAGGATAGTTTAGGCAAACAGACAGCAATAGTAGTGAATCTGGTTCATTTACACATCTTTCCGAATTCTAGAAAATACCTTTCGAATCCATAAAGATGAAGTAAAGAATAGATTCAGCCGTTTTTGTTTTTTTACCCTTAACAAGTAAATTATGTAAAACTTATTATACCTACAAAATAATGCAAGTTTCAAAACATCACAATAATTCTATGTCCCATCCTAACTACGATAACAACTAAATACTTTAAAAAATCTGTAAGATGTATAAAACTTTATTGACGCATTTCAGATAAACCATATTCCTTATGATCCAGGAGTTAAGCCTGCTTCGTTAAACACAACAGAGGAAGTGTGTCAACTTCTTGTACATATACAGGGCTAGGAAAATGTTCAGAGAAAAGGGCAGTATTAGTGGAGTATAAACGAAGGAACTTACGGAAAACAGATTTATGTAATGCAGGAGTTGGCTGGGATCTATTACAATATGGAAAATGTGCAAAGGGAAGGAAGGAAAAGCCTGAATAGTATAATAAACAGATGTATGTTGATATCTTTTGTTAAGTATAAAAAAACCTTGTGTTGATATTTGTAAACAAAGAAGTAAAGGAAGTACAAGGTAATTTCTTGTAATTATCTAAAAACTAAAGTAGTCAGTTAATATTTTGTTTAGTGGAAAACCTACTGAATTGAATAATTAATTTGAAAACACAATAACAGCAACTTTTCTGATTTTAATACTTATAATGTTTTGATCTATAGTATCGAGTCATCATCAGGTAAGATTTACATCTCTCACCTGATGACGACTTAATACTATGGGTCAAAACATTGTAATTATCGGAATCAGAAAAGTGGTCTTTGACCTGACTGCCTAGTCTATGTGGACATAATGTGCCATTCATTTTTAAAATTTCAATTCTTCAATTACTTTTCGATTGAACTATTTGAAACCTGCTGTTATGACTAATATTAACTTAATTATACAATAGAAAAATCTATTTATCACTCTTGGCTACATCAGAGAATGGTTTCTTTCATGGGTAGAAAGAAAAAACTACTTAGATCAAATAAAAAACACAGTAACAGCAACTTTAACAGTAGACAAATTCTGATTCCGATAATTATAATGTTTTGACCCATAGTATTAAGTCGTCATCAGGTTCTGATTTCGATAATTACAATGTTTGGACCCATAGTATTAAGTCGTCATCAGGAAAGATGCAGATATAACCATCCTTCATTTTGAGCTATTGGCCATAAGGAAGGCATTCATAGCTAAAAGGGCATTGTCTGGTTCTTTCAACCAAATAACAGGGGTGAATGTTACTTTCATAACACACCCACGGTGAAAGTTCTGGGTGTTATATCATGTCTCGAGCTCTGGACCCTTCAATCCAAAGCCAAACATACTAACCACTAAGTCAAAACTGTCTCCGTAATCAATGGTGATGATGCAGCAATAAACAGTGACAAAAATATATATATAATGTCTTTTTTTTTATGAATCAAAAATCTTACCTTTGATCATTATTAAATGCAATTTCCCAATTCATTCTCTACTTTTATTTCTTATTCTTACCTGCGTCTCACTCCACTTCTTCCATCACCAATACTAAAGCTGCGTGGAGAAGATGAAGTATTTTGGCCATCGAAAGGAACTGTGTCATCTGGGTGAAAGAGGCCCACCTCTCCATTACTCAATACACCTTTACATACATTGTAACAGTTTGGTAATGGCCTGTAATGATGTACACATAACATGTTTGACAATACAGTAAAATAAGGAGACATAAAAATTATGTTTAGTGTACAAGAAAATGTTAAATTTAACATCATATAATAAAGTGAAAAAGCAATCTGTAACATGTAAATATATATACATTAAACAGTTAGTCTGCTGTATAATATAAAATAATAAACTAAGTACAATGTCATAATATTGTTCACACATCTAAGATAATTTAGGGTAATGTACAGTGAATTAAAAACCCCATAAATTTTAGATAAGCATCATGATTACAGTAGGCCTAGCTTATTTCCTTGTTTGCTGACCCACGCTGTGCTGGTGAGCCTTGAATAGTTGAAACTGCTGTCCACAGCAGAGGGTTTGGCCAATCAAAGAATACATTAGGTATCTACATCACAGATTATATTTTCAATTTTACCTTTGGTGAAAAAGACAACACCACTCTTAAACCGCCAAACACAAGCTAACGAAAACAGCAAACTTACACTGCACATATAAAATATGTTTTTATTACTGTCAGATTCATATTCACAGCAGTTTAGTGAAAATACAAAAATGATATGTCCAAGTAGAGTTTCATACAAGCAGTTTAAGAATGGATCCTTCGAACCTCATTTGATGCACAAATCCTGCACTTCTGATTACTATGTTTTAATTAATATATTAAACAACATGCATATAACTGATAATGAAAACTTGTGCATCAAAGAAGAATGTAACATTCCACACCGGTCATTCTTTTTTCTACTTTCCTGAAGATGAACTAATCTTGCAGCAGAAGCTTTTCTAAGCTGACCAAAATGAGTTCAAATGAAAAGCTGAAAGACATTTAAGTAAATTATGTCAAAGTTCCAATTATTTGCACACTTGTTCAGTAGTTCTCCTACGTGCAACTGATAACCTACATACAAAACTATAATAAAAGAGTGAATGACTATTAGGATATAAAAAATTAAAGCTCAATTCAACACATAGGTGTTTGGCTAATGTTAGCCTGATGGCTGTATGTAATGACTATCAGTGAAGAGATATTAAAACCTAAGACAATAAAGCTATTATTTCAAACAATTCTCTAACTACTTGCAAGTTATATACTTATTTTACCTTGAACTAATGAAAAAAAAAATCTAGTTAACAGTTAACTAACCTTCGGTCTAAAATCGTAATGACATCTTCTAACTTGTACTTCAACCAAACTTTTGAAGTCTTGCCTGACTCGGGTTCAGTAGGTCCTTTCACAACCCTCACTTGCTCCGTTTTTGACTTGAAATATCAAGATATAAGCATTTGAACAAAATATCACTGGAGTATACCTAAGGCTAACCTTTTCTGTTAAGAAATGCTATTATATTCACTAATGTTTTATATTTTACAATTTTTCTCAGTCAAATATAATGTTATTATAGTTAACAGAGCCTAACCTAGTGAAATAGTGACAAAATGGGCTTACAAAAATATGTGGTAAACCTATTAGCAATTAGATTAAAATTACGTTTATTTATGAAAAAACACTAGTGCAATTTTAATTCCTTGTCATTCACACCTAATATTTTATACATTATGTTCTCAGTTTTAAAAAACAGCAAACGAGAACATCAAAAACTACTACAACTATATAGCAATACATTTTCAATCTAAACTATTTATCTGGTTCATTGTTTTTAAAAAATGCAGCAACTAGTAATTAAAGTGGACATTTTATTGGATATTCAACTAAATGCACAGATACCTATTTCTGTAGTATTGAATAAAACTTCGGAAACAATTATGTAAGTACCTTTAACAGCATTAATTATTACGTACATACCTTTAAATATAACTTATTATCATATACATACTTTTAATATAATTTGATACAAATCAGCAAAAGATGGTCTGTCAGCAGGTTCATGTTCCCAGCACTTAAGCATGAGTGAGAAGTATGCCTTAGGGCAGTGGCTTGGCTGCTCTAGTCGCTTATAATTAGGTGCATCAATGGCATCGAGTATCTAACAAATAACATATTAATTATGAATTCTTAAAACATTCCCTAAACACACAATTATTTTGTTGAATAATTTTATTGAACTATGTTAATATTTATTTGTTAAATGTAAATAATTTGGAGTTCTAAAAATTCGTAACCCCCCCCCACCCCCAAGCAATCTACTTTGTC